ATAACTGATCTATATGAGTAGTAACAGCTTTCCTAAATCCAGCTAATGTAAAAATCAAAGAAAAGAATGAATCCATCTTTGGACTAATAAACTGTAGCTGCCAGGTTTTCAATTTCTTCCCCCACACTCTAAAGAACCTCGGACATGGACACACTCAAAGGTTGCCACGATCACATTAGCCATTCTGAACGTGAGTCAGCCTGGAGAGGAAATCCGCTTAAACCAAGTCATACTGACTTAAAGTTGAGCTTACGGTTCATGTTGTGATCGACCGTCAAATCTACTGAGGAATAGGTGATTAGCTCACACTTTTTTGAGCCAATTCTCATCATTTCTGAAGAAGAGTATAAAATGAAACAAAAAAACTCAAGCAGTACATGTCAGTGCCTTACTGTTGGGAGGACAGATGTGTAGAGAAAGTTGTAGTTTCCAAGACACAATATTGCCCTGGCCATCAATATCTCTGCATCTTTGTGAAGCTAGTTTCAAAAACAAAGATGTAAAAAGTCCTAGAAAAAGAACTAAAAATTCACCCATGTAAAGCACTACCTGGACATCTTGTATGAACAACTTTGTACATTTTGACACCCTTTCTCAAAGAGATTTATCCCTAACTCTCTCCTCAACTGTACCTATAGGACTCAAGTGCACAACAGAGTTAACAAGAAGACAGGCGTGCCTTAATCACGGGACCTCTTGAATGAGGTTTCAGAATATTTCTCTGAAACCCATTCTATCTCCTGGAATAGCATATTTTTTTGCCAATTTCAAAAGATTGAGAAGCAAAAAAATACACACAAACAATAAACTAAACTCAATACTATAAAGTGTATTCTAACTCACATAGACTCTAGACAGAGTTTCCAGGGCTGTACATCTTCATGGGAGTAGTCAATTTCATCTTTTGTCCTTGGAGCACTTGGTGGTTTTGAACCACTGACTTTGCAGTTAACAACTCAACCCTTAGCCCACAGCATCACAAAGGTTGTGTGTGTGTGTGTGTGTGTGTGTGTGTGTGTGTTAGTTTATTGTGCCAACCTGGCCGATAAACACATGTGGGGTTCATTGAAGGGGGCAGGGATAAATGGGTCTCTTGCTTTCTGATGGTCAGACCAGGGTGCAGCTGCCTTAGCCAGTTCCCTGCTTCAGCTGGCAAGGCTCACTT